AAAGTGTGGCTAATTTTCTCTTGCTGGTAACCAGACAAGGTATTCCATGCCAGAGTTCAGGGTATCTATCTTTTTATTAATATCTGGTTAGAGTCATGGACACACAGCGTAAAAGCTCTCGAGTAGAGTCAGTGGATATCAGTAGGGACTGGGCAGGAAGGTTAGAGAAACGGCTCAGATTAATTGTTACCAAGCTGCCCAGGTGAACCTAAGTTTGGTTTACGATGGTGGGAATTCCCATACTAATTTGTGTAACGTCAGATATTCAAAGGTAGCAGTAAAATGATAAAGAAAAGGAAGAAAGTTACAGGGGAAAATATGCAGTTAGAAACTGTGCTCTTCTCCTGCCTAAGGTTGACCCAACAGCTATGGAGGACTTGTGGAGGATAATGCCACCATTTGAGTTTCTCAGACCATTTAAAGGGAGCAAGTTAAAAAAGGAAACAGTGGCAAAGGACAGGGAAGAAGGAAAACTACGTGAAATCCAGACAGGAGCAATTTATAACACCCAATCATTCTGAGGAGGGAGGCAGGAAACTTATTTGTTCCCCAGAAGAACATCTCTTGAGAAAAATCTGGGTTTGGTTTCGTGCGGTTAGGTTTGTCATGTGTCGTCAACCGCAACAGAAAAGTGGGAGCAAACAGCCCTGGAGCAACCGGTACGATCACCAGGCAGGGGAGGCCATGCCCCCGGAGAGGACTGGGAAGGGGGAGGGCAGGTCGGGAGGAAGGGCGGGGCTTCAGCTCCTGGCTGCACGGACCTCACCCAAAGCTGGAAATGCCCCTTCCTGATGTACTGAAGGGAAAGGGGAAACAGGTGTGTGGGCATGCTAACGAAAGAGGGAAAGAGAGAGTGAGCCTACAGCAACCAGCCCAGGCAGTGTAAACAAGGAGTGGTTCTCTCCTTTGCTTTCTGAGCATTTTATCCCTAGACCACCTGATCTAGAGAAAGCAGTTGTGTTGGGTGCATCCTTCCAGGTTGACCCGAAGGGCTCCTTGAATTGAATGAATAGCGTCTTTAAACCAATGTGAGGACTTGGAGCTTTCAAGATGGCAGACAATTGGCTATTTAAAGTCAAGAAATGAAGGATTATTTTGTTACTTTACCTAAAGAATAAGTGGTTTGAGGAGGAAAATCTACCCCAAGCCCTTTTTCATAGACTCTGAAAGGGTGGTCTTAATAGCAAAGATGTGTTTTTTAATGAAAAGTGAATCAGGGAAATTAGCTTGGGACGGCAGTTTCCTTTAGATCTTTCTGCCAGAGCAGCCGAAGTTCTCTCTCTAACATAGGCTTGGCACGGTGCTTGAGGGGTGAGTGTGTGTGTGTGTGTGTGTGTGTGTGTGTGTGGTTCATTTTGTTTCATTTAGTTGTTCATTTTATTTGAGTAAATGAGGAGAAATGATGATTTTTCCATCTTGAAGAGTTCTGGGTTCCGCCTGGGAGAGACGAGTGTTTCTAGGAGCTGTGTGTCTTCAGTGATGCATACAATACCGCAAACTAGTCAGCAATCCAAGTTTCCAGAGGGAGAACATCTGGAGAATTTGAGTGCAATTAACTAAACTGCATGACACTCCCCGTGAGCCTCCACCAACGAAGAAGGGTTCCAGGCATTGGGCTGTAAAGGGCCATGAATGAGGCCAGGTCGCACCAACATTGAGTGATTTTTTTTTCTTTTTGCAGTTTGGCTCAGTAAAAGCCAGGTGCTATGAAGGAAGGAGATTCTCTCTGTGCATGTTTAAAAGGTGGCCGTCATGAAAAGCAGTTAGAAGTCATTAAGACTGTCACATCATTGAGCCGTAGCATTGACCTGTGAAGGTAACAGATAACCCATGCTGGTTTAATAGTTTAGAAACACGGGTTCTAGTCCCAGTTCTGCTACCAACTTTTTATGTGAACTCTGAAAAGTTACATCATTCTTTGTTTCACATCTGTAAAACTAAGCATAAAAACGCTTTCTTGATTTATCTCACCAAGTTATTGTGAAATTAAAATGAGACAAGTTTTTTTTTAAATCTTGAAACGTACTGTAATAATAAAATATTTTTATTCTATCTCTTAGTTCTAAGGGATCAAAAATGATTGATCCATCGCTAACACCTTTTAAAAACGTGCTGTGTGCAGGACACTTCTGGTGCCCGCTGTGACCACACCGGCCTCGCTTCAGAAAGCAAGGCCCGTGGAAATGCCCCGTCACCTTGACATTTGGATTTGGAGATGATTACATTAAAGGAATATTCACTAGACTTTCATATTATAAGCTTACATGTGTGGTCAATTTGAAATAAACTGGAATAGCCTTTGTGCCCGTGCTCAGAGATGCAGTTTACATGGAGCGAGGGGAGGAAGTGACCGTGTGCCACCAGTTCCTGGGGAACGCGTGTGAATGCACCCTCCGCTTGAAGATGTGTCTTCCACAACCCAGAAAAGGGAAACAGGAATTCGTGAGAAAGAAAACTTTCATGAAGAGGTTTATTTGGGGACGGAGGAGATGCTTCAAACCAAGCATGAACAGGAAGAGTTCCAGAACTCTCCCAGAAACAAGTTCCAGAAATGTAAAGTCAGTTCTCCTTGTCAGGTCTGAAAGAAAGTTAAATGAATTCAAACCAGTGAACCATACCCTGCAGAGAAAACAGCAGTCACTATTGCTTCGGGAGAAGCATAGTTCTCTCTGGGGAGGGGCTCTGCTTTCAGTAATGTGTCTCACCTTGGGAGAGCTGCCCTTGACTCTGGGCCTAAGGGAGCCAAAAGGCAAAAGTAAAGTCTGTTTGGGAAGCACTTCTCCCAGGTTTTAGTGAGAGATTGAAATAGAGAAATAATGCTTCTAGGGATACACACATGGGATCTATAGCTATGTAACTGTGTGTGTGTGTGTGTGTGTATGTGTAGGAAAGAAAAAGGACCTGTCCATCTTCTTCCTCATCCCATTTTATCTACTCTCACCCCCCATTTTTTTCTTCTAAAGTGTGAGACCAGTCATAGTTGGCTTACTAATCTTCACAAAACAACATCTAAAAAGAAAAAAAGTTGTCCGTTTTGAGGCCACGTGTATTTCCCCAGAACCCTTTGTGGCTGAATCATCCTTGTATCTATCTATGGCTCTGTCTTATTGGAAATGGATGCATAATTAAAAAATGTCTTTATCATCTTTTTCTGTGAGCTATTAGGAAGTTATACTTGGGTTTGTTTGTTTGTTTGTTTTTAGCTTGTGTTCTTTTTAAAAATTTTTTTGTTTATTTCTTCTGCTGTTTTTCAGAGGAGAGAATCTGCTATGGTTGTTGGTTTTAGGTAATGCAGTCCTTGTTGGTTTGCTGAAGGTGGGGAGGATGATGCGGGGAAGGGAAGGTGAGAGGGGCGGGGTATGCCAGCCCCTGCAGGCTGCTCAGTACGCTCTGTTCTCAAGGCTGTTTGCTATGCGGGCCGCAGGCTTTGGGCCTTTGAAGGGTTGAATACCATCTTTTGATTTACCATGGCTGATGGTGGGGAGGATTGGAAACTCAAGAACACAACAGAGATCCAGCAAGAGAGAAAAAAACAAAACTCAAAATAACCAAACACACATGTACACAAACAAAGAAAAACCAAAAGACACGCTGAACTCAAATGAGGTTGGACAAGATAAAGGGCACAGTGTTGTAAAAGCTACAAATTGGAAGAAGGGGGAAAAAGACATAACAAGCCACTGCTCAAAACAGTCTTCTGTGTCCTCGAGATTTTTAGGATTGTAACATAGGCATTTTCCAAGTGTGACCAGTTAACTGGGAAACAGGTAAGACTGGCATAGATTCAACCCCCCCGCCTTTCCACCGGGACACCTAGGGTTTCATATAGTCTTGTGTCAATATATTTGCCCATTGTGTCTTCTCTACCAGCAAGTCATTCCACTGAAATCTTTTTAAAGAAGCTCTGTATCCAAACATTCTACACACCCAAACAAATACAGGCTTAGAAAGTCTGGACTCGGCTATATCACTAATCCTGTCAACACAGGGCCCTGACTTTCTACTGGGTAGAATTAGCAGAAATACAGGGTTGATTTTTTTTTCCTCCAAAAATCAAGAGGTCCCCATTCCCTACAGAAGGCTGATTAAAATTCAGTCAAGGAGGTAGAAGCAGGAGAGAATTGTGAGGCCATAGCTGGGGAATTTCAAAAGTATCTGTTATTAGTATTTAGAGTGGAAGAACAGATCTTCACCCAATAAAGCTACAAATGTGACATTATTATAATTTCTCAATATTAAGAAAAAAACAAAGATTAGAGTAATTGGTGAGTAACAGTGTGAGGCAACAATCTTTATAAAAAGGCCTGTTGAATGATGGATAAGAATGTCAGGAAGGAAGAGAGGAATACATATCAGAAGCCACATTCTCCTTCCACAATGTCAGAGACTCCAACTTATGGAATTGTTTCTCCAAAGGGATAATAGAACTTGACCTGAGCTCTTTACTGGGAGAAAGTATAGGAGACCCCAGTGTCATCAAGGCCACCACAATTCCCCATTTGAATAGTCACTGTGGAGCCAGAGATGAGGATTTCTCATCCTACTCACATAGCTTTGTGCTCTGCAGCCCCACCCTCCCATTTTGCCTCCATTTCCTGCCCTATTCCTGCCCTCGGCTTTGACTGTTTTGAGTGGTGACCAAGGAGCTGGACTTGATGAGAATGTGATTGATCAAAAGATGGACCAAAGTAGCGTGTTTTACACAAAGCTAAACAGTTCCATAAAACCAAGAAAGGAAACTTAGAAAACAAATAATCTAGTAAAAGAAAAAACAAACAGAAAAAAAACACCACTGTCAGAAACCAGAAATTGACATCAAAACCTCATGCAGGAACAAGGAGAAGGTGTTTGTTGCTGTTGGATTTTATCCTTGGTCTATTAAACAAGAGGTGAGCAGCTAACTTTCAAGAAACAAACAAAGAATTCAATCAAACCAATGAAAATCAGAAAAGAAAGGGAAGACAAGCCCAAACAGTGGCAGAGGGTACTTCATACGATACCTAGGTTAACCATGAGCTTGACGCGTCCCCCATCCAGCTCCAAACGCAGGGTGTCGGCAGAGTCCCTGGAGGTGGTAGCGACGAGCAGCCCGTAAGCCCGCTGGGACATGAAGCGGAAGGACACATCCTCTGCCTCGGTGTGCATGACCATGGGCATGATGATCTTCATGTACATGCTGCCGTCGTAGCTCAGGATGGACGCCTCTGCAGAGAAGGACAAAGGAGACTATTAAGGTGAAGGGTGTCACTTTACCTTTGCTTCTAGTGTAAGCAGAGCAGGATTGAGGCGGCACCAAATCTGTAGACAGGTGACTTGAGTTTGCTAGACCTCCATTGCCACTTTTAAGAGACATGACCTTCAGAAGACCACTAAAACCCCAAGGTTTTATTTCCTCATTGGCAAAAGGTTACTATATTGCAATTTGCCCTACTATGCTCACAGATTTGTCATGAGTACCAAATGAAATAATGGATGTGAAGGTAATTTGCAAAAGCGCGAGTGCCCCCACAAACAGTAATAAGTGCATTTCTGTATGCTGTAGATAAAATGAAAGTTCATTAAACAAACTTAGAATCCTATAAGTACATTTAATGAGGACAAGAAGGAGAGCAGCAGTTTATAAGCACCACCGCAAACAAATAGATATTTGCCAGAGGACTTCTAGAAGGAGGAAAGAGCAGCAGCACAGCCTGGTCCCCGTCACATACCTACAGCCACGCACTGTAAGAATTTGCTCGGCCCATTCGAAGAAGATTGATAGAGTGAGAGTTACAACAAAAAAAGCTAATGACACCCTTCAGAGCCAGTCATTCTACTTTTATTCAAATAGCACTTCTACAGGAAGAAACAAACTCACTTTTGTTTGATCCCTTCTGCAGTCCAAGTACTTTGGTTATAAGCCCCTTCCTTGCCCCACTCCCCCAATGTGTTATCTCAGTCAGTGGTACAATGTGGATCTATTATTCCCACTTTCAAACAGAAAATCCAGGCTCTTCAAGGGGGATGTTATCATCCCCAACTCATACAGCCTGGATATTAACCCAAAAGATCCACTACCAAGTCCAGGACCTGTTTTGCAACAGCGTGTTGCTCAAAATGTGCATTTGTTTAGTCTTTCACTTAGCAAACATTTTTAGAGAACACAGGGAGAGAATGTCATTCACATTCCTAAGAAACCAATCTGTCACTGAGCTCAGTATCAGGAACTGAGTAGATCCTTATAAAATATGTGCTGTTGCCAAATAGTTGCTACCTACCTACACGTACTATGGAGAGTACACAGATGTAGCAGATAAGGCCCCTGTTCTAAAGAGAGACCTGGCCCCTGCAGGTATCTGTACTGGAATATAAAAATAGTTAAATTACACAGGAAAGATATATCGATAAAGGCAGTGGCACTCAAGAGACAGAGGCTGTGGCAGGTAGAGTCTGAGCTGGTCTTGGGAAATGGGTGGGGTTTGTTTTAAAGAAAGGATGGCATCAGATCTGATAGGTAGATAAAACATGAAAGAGAGGAGGATGCTCATATAATAACAAATTATTCAACTCAACAGAAGCATCCAGCTTGTTTTGATAAGTAGTTGGCAAAGATAATTTGAGATGGGAATAAAATCAAAGGACTTTGGCAGGCACTGGGAATTAAGTGAATGGTCTTAGATTATGAGCTACTCCAAGGTACTCATTTGTGATACTGTGTGCCAGGCACTCTTCCAGGTGTTGAGGACATGGCAGTGAATCAAAAAGATCAGCAGCTTCTGCCCTCATGCATACACGAAGTCAAAAGAGGAAGAGATCAGGCAGACCCCGGGGAAGGCTCTCACAATCGCCCGCATCATTGTCATACCCCACCCTACTGACATAATACACAAAAGTCCATGAAAAGCAAAATAAACGCGTTCATTCCTGGGAAGCAGCCATCACCTGGGTGATACCCATGATGTGTTAACAGCTGTATATTACAATCTGAAACCTCTACGGGATCACAAATAAAGGTGTCACAGTTGCAGGCATCATTACCATAAAAGACATGTGATTAAGTTCTTTTGTAGATGGGAAGCATAATCTAATTTTAACACATGCTCCAGATGTGAGGGGAAAAAAAAAACTGTTTTGTCTCCTGAAAGAGCAGAATCACAAAAAGATCAATAATGATAGCCAAAGTTATTGAGCACTTGCTATTTACTTGGTGCTGTCTAGGATGTTACATGCATTGAAAAGACATTAAATTGTCACATAGGCACCACAAAAAAGGCAATATTATTATTATATTTTATAGGTACCAGGTCACACAGCTAACCAATGGCAGAGCTGGGAGTCGAACACAGGCAGTCTGATTCTCTCTGCTGTATACTTAATCTGCCCGTCAAATTGTCAGAGAGCATGCTGGGAGCACACCCATGTTTCCTGAGAACCCACAGTCCATCTTTAATGCTTCATGGCAGAGTGTGGTGTTCTTGTGTATGCAAATATATATGTCTCTTTCTATGTGTGCGCACACACACACACATATTGATACCATTATATAAAGTTTTACATTATTTATGAACACATACAATTATATAAACACAGATAAAACATACATTTCTAAAATATATTATATATAAATATGCACAGCACTCTGTCTGTATAATTATGAGCACCACTAATCATAACTGGGTACTGTCTACTGTGCACATCCATGTACACTATATGGGCCCTCCTTTTAATGAGATATTAGGGTATTCATGGAGCCGTGAAATGATTAATTCTACACCTTGAACTTAAATATATTCCAAAAGTAATGGGCACTTGTATCCCTCTGGATATGCATAGTGCCAGAAGATGTGTATAAATGAATGCATCTTTACACCAGTGTTGGTAGTATCAGAGAATAAGTATCAGGTGAGTATGCAGTTAAACAGCTAATGGTACAAAATAAAGTGTGTCTCAATGTGTATCTCTGTTAGCATTTTCTATTATTAACCCGATAATTTTAAGGGGATGCAATGAGGCAGAAAATTTGATATAGGAATCAGCCAAAACAAAATCTGTTTCAGGATTCATATTAATTTGCTTAAAAGATTTCAAACACAAGGAGTACTACAAATAGAATACTTAATTTACGGGGGGAAATAACCTAAAAAGGAAAGCTATTCAATCTATAACCTATCAGGTTATTGAATATTGACAGACCATGTCATGGAATGCTTACACAATGGTTCTTACACAGTTCTCCTATTCTTTCTCTACTCTTTTATTACCCTTTTGTCTTAAGTGAGTATTTCCTTGTACACTATTTTAATTCCTTTAATGACTCTTAACCATATTTTTGAGCTACGTTCTTAGTGGTTACTCAAGGGCTTGCAACATACATCTTAATTTATCAAAATCTACTTCATACTTAGACTAACTTGATTCCACTAAGATACAGAGCCTTTACTCCTATATAGCTCTCTTCACTTCTTTCTTTTTTTGTTATTAATGTTATTCACATCATGTCTATATGTCACAAATAATACACTATTGTAATGTTCGCTTCATAAAAACCTGTGTCTTCTTCACAACTGATCAGGAGAGCTAAAGTATATTTATAAAGTTTTTTTAATGAAGCTTATTATGTAGCATCTTTGTCTCTCTTCATTTCCTCCTGTGGATTCGAGTTACCATCTGGTGTCATTTCTTTTCTCCAACATAGCTTCTTCAATCCTTTGCATTTTATTGTCAAATATATTACAATTCTGTTACAGCTCAACAATATAATTTTATAGATAGTTTTATGAAATTTTAAAAATCTTTTAAGAAAAAAAGAAATGCATAATTACATTGCCTTTTATCATTACCTACATAATTTCCTTAACTGAAGCTCTTCATATTTTCACATAGATTTAAATTACTGTCTGTTTTCACTTCCTTTCCGCTTGAAGAACTTTGTTTAGTAGTTCTTATAAGGCAGGTATACTAGCAATGAATTCTCTGTTTTTGTTTACCTGAGGATGCCTTTTTGCTTACCGTCACTTTTGAAAGATAGCTCTGTTGGATGTAGGATTCTTGGTTGACAGTTATATTTCTTTCAGCACTTTGAATGTTGTGCTTCTGCTGGTGCCCTCCATAGTTTCTGCAGACACATCAGCTGTTAATCTTCTTGTGGTGCCCTTGTACAGATGAGTCACTTTTCTGTTGATACTTGCAAAAATTTCTCATTCTCTTTGGCTTTCACCATTTTTATTATAAAGGGTCCAGATGTGAATCTCCTTGTATTTATCCTGCTTAGAATTCAATGAGCTTCTTTGATGTGTAGATTAGTGTTTTTCATCAAATTTGGCAAATATTCAGTCATCGGTTTCTAAAATATTTTTTCTGTCCCTTCCTCTCCTTTCTTTCCAGTACTCCTATCATACATATGTTGGTATACTTAATGGTTCTTCACATTTCTCTAGCATGCTGTTCATTTATCTTCATTCATTTTACTTTCTTCTATTCAGATCATGTAATTTCTATTGATCTATCTTCAAGTTTGCAGATGTTCACTTTTTCCAACTCAAATATACATATTTTTTTCTCCAAATAAAAATTTTAAATTTGAAAAGTTGAAATGTAAATATAAATTTATATCTATCTGTGTCTTGGTGGGTGTGTATATTTATATTTATAAGTCTCTTTATTAACACAGGGTATGTCTGGAGAAAGTCCAATGATTATTAATATAACAAGAATTGTTTGTGTGACATTGATATAACCTGGCAGCCAAGGAGAGTGGACTGGAACATGCCTGAATGAACAGTGACCACTTCACTATATTAGTCAGTGGGGATGGTAGAGGCCATTGAGTGAGCATGTGTACTGTGTGGCCATTGCATTCAAAATGACCAAATGAAGAGAGTAATGAACTGCATCAAATTTTGTGTTAAGCTCGAACATTCTTCCATGGAAACTATTCAGATGATTCAGGAGGGTGTAGCTACGGGCAACAGGTGATTGGCAGCTTCATCATGACCATGTTCCCACTCATGCATCACATCTCATGAACAATTCTTTGGCAAAACATCAAATCACCCAGGTGACTTAATCCCCCTACAGCCTAGATTTGGTGTCCTGTGACTTCTGGCTTTTCCCCAAACTAAAATCACCCTTGAAAGTGAAGACTTCAGATCATCAGCGAGAGTTGGGAAAATATGATGTGGCAGGTGATGGTATTGGGAGAATTGTGTGAGGTCCCAAAGTGCCT